TTCCTAAACTTCATCATGATTCAACGATTCCAACGAGATGACACAAAATAATGGATTACTGCCTAAATCTTCCATAAATGTCAGCCATGATTAAACCCATTTGTTACAGCCTTGAATAAACTGGTTAAACATTTTTATACATTGGGACTAATTAAATAAGTCAGCAAATTGTTCCTAAACTTAATCATGATTCAGACACTTTCTTGATAGTGGCTGATGATAGTTGAATTAGGTCAGTTTTAATCTATTTTCTTACATTTATGTCTGGTCTGGGAACAAAAAAAACATTAAAACTTGAGAAAAATCTGGCAAAATGATTATTTAAAGTCATGAGAAGGCATTCACACTTACCAGTTAAACATTTTTATACAGTGGGACTAATTAAATAACAGATTAAGTCAGCAAATCGTTCTTAAACTTCATCATGATTCAGGTGACACAAAATAATGGATTACTGCCTAAATCTTCCATAAATGTCAGCCATGATTAAATTCGATTTGTTACAGCCTTGAATAAACCGTTACGCTTAGTTAAAGCTTTCCCGGAGTGTTATTTTCAAATATCAAAGCAGATGTGTGGATTCATTTTTACATTTTGGAGCAAAAATCGACTTAATATAAATATATGTTCATTTCCAGAATGGTGGACAAATACTACTTAATGACTCACCTTATAATAATCCTCATCCCACATACAAATACAGGGCTGCCGGGGGCTTATATCCTCCTTAAATTGTCATTTTCATGCTTTCAGTGTGAGAAATGACTAATTATTTGATTTGAGTACTTGAAATACTAGATTTGCTGTATTTTTTTTGTTTTTTTTTGTAACCCTGAGAGGAATCAGCATGTATGGAAACTAGATGGAGGGATAGTTTGCATATTTGAGTGTTTGGTTTGATACATCCATCCATCCATCCATCCATCAATCTATAAATTCATCCATCCATCCATAAATGAATCTATTCATCCATCCATCCATCCATAAAGGAATCTATTCATCCATCTATCTATAAATCCATCCATCCATCCATCCATCCATCCATCCATCCATCCATCCATCCATAAATTAATCTATCCATCCATCCATCCATCCATCCATCCATCCATCCATCCATCCATCCATCCATCCATCAATTAATCCATCCATTAATCTATCTATAATTTAATCCATCCAT